TGGTAGATGAGTATACAAACGAGCAGTTAGTTTGTGGATTCTTTGGATCTTTACAAAATAGCGATACAAGTTGTGAAAAATCTTCTAAAACAAAAAAAGAAAATAGACGACTCCGCCATTAAAAAATTTTGCGGAAAGAGGAAGACCTCAAATGGGAGTGATGTCGCCTCTACTATGGAACTTCGATTCGGAAAAAAGTTTAGGTATAGTGCCCCCTCTAATAATAAAGACGGCAGCCACCAGCCGTGCTACTAAGCTAAACTTTCTTCAACAGATTTACAAATGTACATTAGGGTGCATCACCAAAACAAATTGTGGTTTTTCCAACGGAATTATACATATATACATATGTATATGTGTGAAGCAGAAAAAAGTATCTTTACCAAACCAAAAACAAAATTAACAAAAAGTGGAAAAAATTATTTTCAGAAGAAAATTGTTTATATAAAAAATAATGAATTAAAAAAATCAAAGTTATTTTTGGAAAAAAAAATTATATAAAGAATAATAAATTTTGTGACATAAAGAAACTTTTAAGAAAATCATACATTTTTAAAACATATAGATTCTTTTTGATAAACATTCATATTTTTGGAAAATTGAACAATTTTTAGAAAAAAAAATTTAAACTATTTGTCTATTTAAATAGAAATCGTTCCTAAAATCATTTTTGGGGTACTCCAAAGTATAACAACTCCTCTTGCTATAAGAGGTCAAACAATTCAAATAATAAAAATAAATCTGACAAAAAGGCTCATAAAACCAATAAGTTAATTAATTTGCTAAGCCCTGTGACCTCAATAAACCTCAGGCTTAGACTACATATAAATTACTACGTCCTCTTCTGTCAGTCCTTGTTTTTGTCCCGTCCCGCAGGCAAATTTTTAAAGACATTAACGCTATCGCCGATCCCGGCCATCTTGACACATGTAGGTACCGTGGTTCCCGCTCATCTTTAGCCGGTACACCAAAGGATCCGGGCTCTTTAAGCCCTACTATTGCTGTGCTTACCTCAAAATTTTCGAACAGAGACAAGTGAGCTTCATCCCCACTCATATTTTTCTGAATTCCTCTTCAGCAGTATTGTCAGTGAAGAGTGTTGAGGAGTGGTTTCCACGCAGGAACCAACCTTGTACAAGCGGTTTTGAAATTAGTTTATGCCTGGCTTTATTGTATCGGCTGCCAGTATTTCAGACTATATGCACTAAAACTTTTCCTACACTTTGTTATTCGTCTTAAATTTATTACTAACTAGTGTACTTTAATTAATTAAAGCGAAGTTGTGGTCAAACTCGAAGTAATAAAAATTTTAAAACTTTTCTGAAATATAATATTGTCTTTCAGATTTCTCGCTTAACAAGCATAAGCTTTTTTTTTATTTGCCTAGGGTATAAGAAATCCTTTCGCCCAAACAAATTATCCTTTTTATATTTGTCCTGAAGCAAAGCATGCTTGTTAAAAGCGCAAATTAAAAATCTTCTAAAATAAGAAAATATGTATGTAAAAATGTATTGTACTTAAAATATTAGATGGCCCCAAGTGTGTGTTTTGGCATGCTCAAATTATTTACATTTGTAAGAACATTCATACATGCACAATTTTTCAATGGACTGCATGGTAGTACTTGCATAAGAGTATGTACAAATAAAATATGACTCGTTTTAAAGTAAAGAGACCAGAGGCGCCTATATACATATATGTATGTAAGTATTACAAAATACATTAGGCAACACAGCAAACACCAAGCCTAACATCCGTAAAGAGAATTTTAATGAAATTTGGAGTTGAGCTGTAGAAAAAGAAACGAGATCTTATAACTATGGTTGAATGTAGGAGCATTCAAAGTGTTCAAGTGCCACAGTTAATTCCATCAAAAACTGTTATACATACATACATACTACGTAAAAACATTGTTAGTACCAGAAGTGCGCCCAACTCAGCTCGCACCCATGACCTTTTCCATTTTCATTTGCCGCTTCACGTTTGCGCACAGTCACCCTCAGCTATGACAGTAGATATTATTTCACTCAGCAGGTTGCCCTTGTTTTTTTTGTGCATTTATTTTTATTAAGCGCCTTTTTTGTACAGATTTGTAAATGGCTTGTTTTGTCTATGTGCTCTAGAACAGCACAAAATGTATTCATATAAAAACTGTTAAAGAAATTTAAAGTATCTATATGCACTCCAGAACAGGGGAGGAATTAATCCTTAACTAATTTTTAAAGTGCCATCTGCGACGCCTTACCAATACTAGGATAAGATGGCTCTAATGGGCCAGAATTTTCCTAAAAACTGCTACGAATACGGTTCTTCCCTATATTTACCGCCAACTTAGTTATATGACCAATGCAAAAAACTGCTAGTGTTGTCTTTAGGAAATAGGCTCTTCGGACCCGAGAAAATGGTCTTTACCTTTCTAATAAAATTTTCTAATTTCTGCTCTGTGGCCAATCGTAATGGTTACGAGTAACGATTACTTCCAGCGCCGTTGTGTAGCACATGCTTAACGTAGAAGTTTGATGATTAAAGTTAAATAAGCAATGGTTTTGAGAGGGCTTAATACAAAAGCTATTCGGTTCAGGCCTCCTTGTAAATATAATATTTTTAATATTTACGGTTGGGTGATAGACTTTTAGAAACCAAAGGATTTTAAAACATTTTGAAAATTGTGTGGCTACACCACTTTGAACTTATTGATAACCATTTCTGTGAACATTTATAATTTGAAATCATTTGTTCGATTAATATGTTATAGTGCAAATGAAGCCTTTTTTAAGAAAATTTTGAAAACAACTCCATCAGTTCCTATCGACTTTGCGGCTAAGTCCACGGGGAGGCTGAGTGCAAATAGGAAGTTCAAACAAAGAAACACTGGCCATAGCTCAATAACAGCTCAATAGCCAAAGTACATGCAGTCACAACAGAATACATGCCACCTTGCTATAACTGAGAGAGGGGATTTCGGGTTACTGTCGGTAAAAACGGATGGCGTTTAAATTCTTCACAGACGGCTCAAAAATTAAATATGGAGTAGAAGTGGGAGTTACTGTCGCCGCTGCTATGGCTTTTCATACCAGACAACTTTCTTCTAAGGCCCAACAGGGAAGGGGTCAAAGTTGTCGCGTATGTAGACGATGTAGTATTCGGATTGTGCATAAATGCGATAAGAGGAATGCTTTAAAGCGCACTAGGAAAATGGGTTCTTTTGCAAATTCCCTGGAATACCGAATTACTATTATTCACCACAAGTAATAAGATTCCTAATTTTAACCTACCTTCCATTGATGAGCATACTCTTTTCTTTACCCTTACGCTAAGTATTTGAGAGTCATTCTCACACCGGAATTAAGCTGGAAAAATGAACACGAGTAAAAACAGGCCTATGGTGCTCTGTATTCCTGCAAAAAATGCTTGGTAAGAAGTGGGGCCTACAACCTGATGATATGATTTGGATATACAAGGCGATTTATTGGATACGGTTCGCTGGTTTGGGCGAAAGTCGTATAGGTGAACTGTATACGCACAATGTTATGCTGGGTACAAAGGTCAGGAAGCATTGAATATCATCTGTCATCCGCCACCGATTGAGTGATTGAAAGTGCTTCACAGAGTGCCATGAGGTTGAGGGAGTTTAGACTGTGTAAATCATGGGCATGGAAACTGTACTGATCTGGGTGCCGGGCACAGCAGAATTCATGGCAACGAGATGGCTGACGAGTTAGCCAGGAATGGGTCGGCTCTGGATGTCTCAGAGGCAGAGGGGGTTCTTGTGCCTCTGGCTTATATCAAGAGCGGTGGCTAATAATAGGCGGAAAGATCTACAATCCTGTAGGGGTTGCAGGATTCTGTGGCCCACCTACTGCGAAAAACTGCGTTTCTTATCAAACCAAACAAGAAAGATCTATCTCGATTAACTGCTCTTTAGACAGGGCACTGGGTAGTGGGAATCCATGCTGCAAGACTAGGACTGGAACACAACACTTTTTGGAGTAGCTGTAATTCACCAAATGCAGAAGAAACGGTGAAACATCTGCTCTGCCGGTGTATACTGCTCAGAGCTTAATGTTAGTTAGCCTATTAAGCTGCCGGATCAGTTCAGTATATTCCAGACAGAGGTTTCCGCAGGCTGAAGATCCGCTTAGCTATCCCTATTGAATGACTTTAAATAACTCTAGTCAAGCAGCAGCAGACCATTATTTTATACCATATGACGTCACAAAATGCCCTTAGAAGCAGGGAGGCCATAAAAAGGGCAGTAGCAAGCAGGGGACTGCATATTTATTGGATTCCTGGCCGTAAGCGCATCATGTGTAACGGAATTGTAGATGAGATGGCCAAGAGTGGAATTCACTTAGATCTAGAGCAAGAGATTAATATTCCAAATCTTCAAAAATCTTTATAACCAAATAGACCAGAAGATGAAAAGGCTATTTCGAGATGAAAGGCGCTAAACACCTTTAAAATCTGTAGTCATGAATAGATTAGAAAACGATTTACAATTCCGGTTTATACTATCGCTGCTACGAAGAGACTGCAGAACTATGATAGGCGTCCTAACAGGATATAACATGTTGGCAGCGCACGCACGCAAAATGGGACGATAAAGACTCCGGACTTGAATGATTTGTAAAAAATTATTTGGAGGGGCCTCGCAAGGTTGTCACCACATTTTTTCAAAATATATGCAGGAAACCCACTATCAGATTTCAAAGACATTTTTTTTTAATTTTGGGATACCCAAAATCACATCGTTATCAGATATATCCAATGAGCTTATATTTGATAACGGATAAATATTATCTGAACCATCAGCATAGATTAAACTCTTTTCCAAATTACATTCAAAAAACTCTGCAAAAAGACTTGCGGTTTCCAATGCGTTTTTTGAACTAACATTGTT